AAAAATGTATTTGAACGTCCTCTCTATATCGGTCCAACCCGGTTGCCATTCCCACTCTACAACTGTGCCGGGGTTGCTCTTCTCTAGGGCGGCGAAAAATCTAAATTAAAATAAAAAATTAATCCTTATTTTATTCCTAAATTACAAACAAATCAAAAAAATTAGATAGGACTTAAGTAAATACCTTGGAAGTATGTCAAAATTGGAAACCCAGTCGCCGTAAACAAGATCGATAGCTTCCTTCCCTCCCATGCCCTGTGGTAAGGAACATCGACATGCATACAGTCTTTCACTTCTTCCTGAACGAGCTTCACTTCATAATCTGGGTCCAACTCAACCTTATGCCTTATGAGATGCGCAATAAGTGTTGCGCTCACATTCCGATTATTGTTTTCCTCGGTGACATTCATACAATTGTGCCCGGGCACCCATTTCACAATCTCCCACAAACCGTGGTCTCTCAAGGAGGCACGTACCTTCCAACGGCAAGGAACATAACCCTTAGGGGTTGACTCTTTTAGGGATTTGCACCAAATATACCATGTTGAACCATCACTTTCCTTCACATAAAACCTCTCTTTTGCTCTATGCTGCAATACCATTTTTTGCTTCTTCCTTATTCTTGAAACAAGTCCTTATCCCAATTGTTGCGGTTGTCCCGTCCCACATGGTAAGTTGAAAATCATCCTTGTCCACTTTTGTATGATCCCATGTACCCTGTGAACGATATATGTACCTATCCTTTGTGGCGAATTTGTCTTCGACCTCTTCATCACTCTCCCGACTTCCTTCGGATATTGATTGGTTTTCATCGCTTTGATCACTTATCGATGTGTAGTCCTCATCATCTTCACCGTGATTATATTCCATGTGATCGCCATCCTCCATAAACGGTCCACCCACATCATCATCTTCCATGTAATCGACATTCTCCACATTCGGCCTACCACTAGTTGTCCCTACTTCCAAATAGGACCTAGAAGTACCCGCCACCTCTAAATCTACATACAAATCAATATATGTCGAACTTGGGAGGAAATACAACACTTGCAACGATGCGTCGTCCTTGATTTTGGCGATACGCCTAAAACCATTACGCATCGTATCATACAAAATCGATAGACTCAAATTCACATTCTTTCTATTCCATCCCACTCTTTCATAAATCAGTCCAACCAAATCATTGTACAATAACTTATAATCAATCACAAAGGAATCGTCTGGCATGTTGTTAAAACTATTCACAATCCCATTCTTCACTACAAATTTGCTCGACCAATAGACATTAATGAAATATGGACCATTAAACGCCATTTATATCTGTTGATTACATGAATTACAACACATCATGAACAAATTCTTAAAAAAAATGACACAAACAAGGCATTATCAAACAACTTATTATAACAATTACCACAAACAAGGCATAATCAATACTAAATTTACTAAACCCCCTACAAATTCAAAAGTTTAGGCCAAATTCAAGTATTTTACTAAATTGAACGTTCAATACCACGTATACAACAACAATCATCAACTACACCCAACATCAACCCTAAAACGTTATAAACCATCCTAGTTCTAAACTTTTACAAAGAAAATAACAACAATAATTCTAAATACATCAAAACATTAACTAACCTTCTTATGAAATGGTTTTAAGACATCCATTGCGAAGAATCGTGAATAAAATCTTCAAATCGCCACTAAAATCACCTCCTCCTTCAAAAAATAGCCTACTTTACCAAAAATTCCGATACGTGAACAGTATTTTCCGTCGCCCCATTATAACACAAAAAAGTTGGATTTCTAAAATCCGATTTTATAAGTAAGATCGGATTTTCTAAATCCGATTTAACATTAAGGCCGGATTTCACGAATCCGACCTTCTGCCAGCTAATAATGTCCATTCAATGCCGATACTACTGTTAGGTATGCTTAAATAAGGTCGGATTTTGTAAATCCGATCTTGTACTGTTCTTAATTTTCAAATCTCCCGCCTATATTTTTTAATGAAAATAAACACCTGTTCATTATTTGACTTTCAATACATTTTTCTCACATATTTTCCGGAAAAAAAATTGTTATTTTATTAAATCGGATTCTTAAAATCCGAACTACTAATTTAATTAGTAGGTCGGATTTTGAGAATCCGGTCTCCACATTTTTCTTTACCAAAAAAAAAAAAATATAGATCTCTCTACTCCTTTTTTTAGTTGATTTTTTAACCAAAGCACCCATAGATTAATCCACAGAAAACATTTAGACCGACTTAATAATCAGCAGTTCAGCACTGTATTCATTATTATTATCATTAAAGATTTTTTTTTTAAAAAAAATTCAATATTCTTCTCTAAACCCTAGAAATAATCCCACAAGAGAGATACTGTAGTTCTCCATCATCAAGTCGATTATTACATTACATCTGTTTGATTTCTCCAATTTAGACTGAAAAAATGGAATCATCAAGTTGGTTACCCCCTTTGAATTCACACAGTCGATATGAAGTATACGTGAAAGCAACCCAACCCAACAAATCCCTATCCAATCCATCACTTCTCCTTCGAGAATTCTCAATCAAAATCAAAATCAGCGTTAATTTCTACTCAGAAAACAAACATATCAAGGAGAGATCTAGAATGTTCGAAGGGTTATCCACCGCATACGAGTTTAGTATACTTTGTGGGCAAATCGCCCTAGATTGTGTAAATTCATGGGAAATTATAGCTTCCATGTTGAGTAAATGTTGTATCCCTTTTGATTTTGATGGAGCAATTTGGATTGGAAGGCAATTAGAAGATGTTTCGCGGGATTTAAGGTTAAGTGACAATTGCGATTTGGTTGAAAAGATTTTGGAGTTCTTATGTCGCATGAATTCCGAGGAATACAATCTTGGCAAGAAGAAGTTGCCCTTTAAATTGGAGATTGAGAAGATGGTGGAAATCCCGGATGAAGAACTGAAAGCGTGGAATTCTTGGTACGATGAGAAGAAAAGAAGGCAATTGAATTTCGAAAGGGATTTTCGAAAGGCGATTCAAAGGCCAAGAACGTATGAGGAATGGATGAGTGAAACACAAATCAATGCGTTCAAAGGAGCGTCGAGGTCATCGATTCGAAACTTGGAGGAGATGAAATTCAATGGTTGGACTTCGAAAAATAGAGGTAATTGTTCGATTTGCATAGAGGAGTTTATGGAGGGATCTCAAGGTATAAGATTGCCTTGTTCGCATATTTTTCACAACGATTGCATCATGAAGTGGCTGCAAGACAGTCACGTGTGTCCTTTGTGTCGTTTTATGTTTCCTACTGATTGTCACGATTGTTGTTTTGGGACGGAATGAATATGAGAAAATCTTTGGTGTACGAGATCAAAATTCTTGCAACATTTTTTCCTCTTCTGCTTTGGGTACATTTTTTAACTTGTGAAAGAGTAGTAAAAACTTGTGCATATTGCAGAATGCAGAGCTTAATTGAACAAATTAATGGAAACAATCATTTCTTTGATAAATTAGCTGTTCTTTATATATCTTTCCGCTACATTTGGTGAAAATCTAATAACTTTACCTATCCCGAAGCACCTAAGAAAACCAATTAACATGAACTCAAGAGTCATCAAATTTTTGTGCTTGGGTGGCTGTGTTGTTATCGAGGAGGGTTCAAGGTGTTACTTGTAAGATTACTAGATCGGGAATTCCCAACTCTTCGGAAAGAAAATGAGCCATTTTCCTTCAAATTTGATAAGAACAATGAAGTTTTCTACAATTGTGGAAATTCAGAAAGAACTATGAATAATGAAACTCCATTAATTACACTAGCTTTTCCACATTTACAAGCACTCGAGACCCCCAAAAAAGAAGGAACGAATAGTGTAGTATATATTCAAATATATATTTTATATATATATATATATATATATATATATATATAAAGTCCTCCAGATCAGATCGGACTGGCTCCGGTGAAAGGATCATTTTAAGTACATAAGGGTAGTATTGGGATGAAGAAATGTTACTCTTTGATTATAAGCGCATAATCATAGGTCTTGTGTAGACAATGCAAATGAGAAAAGTACTAGCAGACATAAACAATCCAAGAGCAGTAGAGAAATAGTATTCCGAAGAGGGGTATAAAAGTTGCAGTTCATTCTAGCTTAATTTGAGGCATTAAGGAGTATAAATAATCGTCCCTCCAACATATAACATATTTACAAGTAAATAACCATTTCAAAAAAATAAAAATAAAAAAACTTTCTAATGATTATTTATCATTTTTGGTGAGGTTTGATCAAGAGCGGCGACGTTAGAGTATTATTTATCCAGTGAAGTTTTACCTTGAACCACTCTTCAATATAACTTATAAGAGTTTTTCATATGTGTACGGCTGGCAAATTACCAATCAGTCTTCTCCTAATTTTTATACTTGTCCAAAATAAAGATTCATTTTAAAACAAAATCATCATAAACGTAAATAACTTTTTACGACGGAACTAAGGGAACATCAAGGGGTCGATCAACCCGGCCAGCCGGATTTTCTCTTGTCAGGGTGTCGACAATTGATTTTTTTGTTTTTAATTTAACTAATTAGTAACAGTTGAATAATTTTAATTTTAGCGCTCGCGTAATTTAAAAGTTTTCGTTGCGCCACTCACAACTCCAACTGCGACACTAATATTTCTATTAAGGTAACATAAAGCAATTATAGTTCCCGTTCAATGCATCCGTTACTTTTTTTTTTTTTGTTCTAAGAGGGAAAAAATTGGTATCATTCCCGATTTTACAACCTGGCATCAGCGACTGCGAGACAAAAACTGTGTACCATTCTCAGTTCTCACCCGTCTCTCCCTCGTTACATTGTTACGAGGCGGGTAACGTAAAACTCACCTTGAGCTTTTTGAGCAACACGTGTATTTAGATGTAGGCCCCCACCACAATCTGACATCACTTACTTCCCCTCCCTCCATTTCTCCACGTACTTCTCAAACAAAAGTAACTCCAAACCCCCAGAGATCATCATCACTTCACTTCACTTCAACTTAGGAAGTCGGTGGGACACCATTAATTTCCCCACTTTCCGATGTAGTTATAGTACGACAATCTTTACTCTTCAATCGACGCTTTTAATATAATCAGAAAATACGTCATTGTTGTTTCATCAAATTTTTACCATGGAAACTCACCTGATGATGGGCTCTTCTTCTCCTGCTCTCTTCACGACTTTCCTGATTTCTGTTTACTTACTTTGCCACTTTGTGTGTCTTGTGGCGGCGGACTACACCGTCGGAGTGAACTACGGCACCGTTGCCGACAACCTTCCTCGGCCGTATCAGGTTGCGTCTTTCTTGAAAGACCAAACCACCATTGACAGAGTTAAGATCTTTGATGCTAACCCGGATATTATTACCTCCTTCGCCAACTACAACATCTCCCTCACCATCACCGTCCCCAACGGCGACGTTTTAGCCGTCTCCAATCTTCCCGCCGCCCAATCATGGGTTGCCGCCAATGTTCTTCCTCACTATCCCCAGACCAAAATCCGCCGTATCGCCGTCGGCAACGAAGTTATTGCCGCCGGCGATAAGAATCTCATCGCCCATGTAGTTCCGGCGATGAAATCCGTTCACGCCGCCTTGAAGCTCGCCGGAATTACCGACGTTCAGGTCTCGACGCCTCATTCCATGGGTATAATGGCGAAATCCGAACCGCCGAGTTCGGGTCGGTTCAGACGCGGGTACGATAAGGTCATCTTTGCCCCGATGTTGGAGTTCCATCGCCAGACCGCGTCTCCGTTCATGGTTTGCCCGTATCCTTATTTCGGGTTCACGGACAAAACTCTGGATTACGCGCTGTTCAAGCCGAACGGCGGCGTTTTTGACGAGGCTACCGGGGTTAACTACACCAACATGTTTGACGCGCAGATGGACGCGGTTTACTCGGCGATGAAGAGGCTTGGGTACGGCGACGTGGATATCGTGGTTGCGGAAACGGGTTGGCCTTCTGCGGGTGACCCGAATCAACAGGGCGTCAGCCTGGAGAATGCGGTTTCATATAATGCGAATCTCGTGAAGCATGTCAATTCGGGTTTGGGTACTCCGTTGATGCCCAACCGGACCTTTGACACTTTCTTGTTCTCATTGTTTAATGAGGACCTCAAGCCCGGATTGTCCGAACGGAATTTTGGCTTGTTTCGACCCGATTTCGCACCCGTCTACGATGTGGGCATTCTCCGCAACCAGCAGCAGGTAAGGTAATCAGGGTCATATTTGGAATTTGGGTTTCGGAGTATGACTTTGGTTTTTTTAAAATAATTTAAATCGTAAATTTCTGTGTTAGGTTGTGGCCCCTGCTCCGACGACAATAACGGCGGCCCCATCACCGACGGCGGCGGATAAAGGCCAGAAAACCTGGTGTGTACCAAAGGATGATGCTACAGACGCGGCTTTGCAGTCTAACATAGATTACGTTTGTGGATCTGGAGTGGATTGTAAGCCCATACAAGATGGTGGGCCTTGTTTTTTGCCAAATACGGTTAGATCTCATGCATCTTACGCCATGAACGCATATTATCAAGCCTATGGACGTAACGATTATAATTGCGACTTCACTAGTACTGGTGTTATCACCACAGCTGATCCTAGTAAGTATACATTTTCTTTCCGTTCAGGAATATTCAATAAGTAGCATTTACCGATAACCTGAAATTATTTCGAGTTGGGTTCTAGTTAGAGCGTAACACTCTTAAAACATAATTTGAGTGAATTTTATTTTTGTTCGATGAGCAAGCGGGCGAACTCTCGATCTCGTAGTTATAATTGCGTGCATATATGTGGCAGGTTACCAAGAATGCACCTATGTGGCTTAGCTAGGGAGGAGAAGGAGCTGTTCATTTTCATGGGAACATTTGTGAATTGATAATTAACTGGTGTAGCTTACCGCCTAATATGAACGATAATCTGTCTTTGTTGAGACGATGAGGATGTGTTTATTATATGTGATGATTTAATTCTGTTTTCTTTTTCTTGAGTGACTTTGAACTAACAGTTTACACTTTAGACCGTAAAAGTAGTCCTTCTGTAATCTATTAAATTTACTTTGAGGGCCAAGTCATTAAGTTAGGTTTGGATAGGCCGGGAATGTAACGTGGCTCATCTTCTCATTTTGGATTTTGTTTAGTGTTATTTCGTGCAAGGGTCTTCTGTGATATTTGGAGTTCAATTTCTTGGCTCGTTTTGGCAAATATTGTTTGTTTGCCAAATTTTGTTTATGTCATATTTTGGAATAGCGAGGGAATGGTGTTTGGGTTTGGCCAGAGCGTTATTCACTTGGCAAAAATTCTACATTCCATTCGCGGTCTAAACATATTGATGTGTGATATCATTGAATTCGGGATGTCTTGGAGTGCAAGACGTTGTTTCTTGAGAAGATTAATACGGATGACAATGGTGCCGATATATTGACGAAGACACGGTTTGGTTTTACCTCTCAAGTGAGGTGAAGGGGGAGATTGTTGGGCCAATATTTCACCTCAATTGAGCCCATCATGATTTAAAGCCAAAATCCATGTTGGATTTGGTTTGGTTTGCTTTGGCCGAATAAAAGGAAAACCAATTGGATTTGGTTTTTTGGTTTGATTGCTTATAAAAGCAATGTGGCCGTGACTTTTTGGCCGTGAATTTGACAAGCAAATTTGGGGTAACCGCACATTATTTTTGTGCGAGAGAAAAGAGAAGAGAAAAGCTAGTTCTGGGGTTTTTTGGTGTTGCGAGAAGAATGTGTTTCACTTTAGGCTTTGATCGGGTGACTAAACAGAGTCAGTTATTGGTACAAGTTTGCATGTGTGTTCCTCTCAACTAGATCTACAAATCTTCCGGTTTAGTTTTCAGTTTAGCTCTCTTTTGGTAAAATTCTTTCAATCCTACTTTGTGGTTTAGGTGTGTGTGGAAAGTATTGTTGTAATCCACCTTTGGGTGAAGTCCTGTGTATACACCGATTGGTGAAGATTGTTTTTCATTATTGTGATAGTAGAGATTTGACTGTTATTACAGTCCCGTGATTTTTTCCGATTTGGGTTTCCACGTAAATTTATGTACTTCCTTTATTTTATTAGTTCTTGAATTATTTTACTTTTTGGTTGTCCTATTTTATTGGTAGTAGAAAAGGAGATTTTCTTGGGATTCGCTTCCATAGTGTGCTGTGTTTATGCCTTTTCCGCCACAACAATATTCTCCATGTTTTTTGCCATGGAAACGCATGTTGTTAGCTATTCCCATGGTTCTTGCAAAGTAGTTGGTGATAGACTCATCATCATTCATCTGCAACACTTCAAAATCTCTTCTCAAAGCTTGAAGCTGAGCACGCTTCACTCTTGCAATGCCTTGATACTTTTTCTTCATTGAATCCCATATATCCTTAGAAGTCTCCTTGTTGAGAATGGTCTCCAGGATGGATCGATCAATAGCATGAAACAAATAATTCTTTGCTTTCAGGTCCTTCAACTTCAGCCCTTCAAACTCCTTTTCTGTGAGTGCTACTCCCGACGTTACAACACCAGATTCAATGACATGCCAAAACTCCTTTGAACTCAAGAAGTTCTCCATCAGCATGATCCAATGATCATAGTGACCATCAACGCGTGGAATAGTAGGCTGCATAAAATTTTCAGAAGCCATATTGGCTCTGATACTAATGATTACAAAAGTAGGAAAATATGAGACTTGAAAGTAAGAATAATATGAGAGGAATTCTCTGTATATTATTGCTAAAACTTGGAAGCAATTATATATGCAAATTATATAACAAAGAAAGCTAAAAATCTAACACTAATTCTATCATGAAGTAGCCAGTAAACTATGACTCCACCTAGAAACAAACCTTCTAAAAAAAGACTAGGTCAATTAGGATTCAAATACCAAAAGCTGATATATTCAAAGTTACTGCAACTTACAGTAATTATTTTCTTACAATTTTATTTTGGTTTTGTTCTTTTAGGAGAGAGATCCATAAAGCCAATTGAAAGCATTCATTCAATAAACTTTACGTGGCAAAGCTTGATTTCATTTGCCAATTTCGCTTGTAGTTAGAAGAGTGATTATATTCATCTCACGTCTCAGTCAGAAGATGGGGAGACTTTTTTCCATGGACATATTTGATTTGACACAGTTAGAATGATATAAATTCAATTTTACAACATAGAATGATGAAAATTTTGGTCCTTTTTTTTTGTATCTGATTTCTAGCTAGTTTATTTAATTATGTTCATTGTTGTTGACAAAGTATGGGTTTAGAATCCTATCTCTTGATTACTAGTATAATTTTATAGTCCCAAGAACTAAATCAAAAAATAAAGAACCCTCAACTCCGTGACAATTCTATTCGGAAAATGGAAAATTTGACACAGTTGATTTCTTTTTTTTTTTGGCCGAGGGAGGGGGGAGGGATTGGATGAAGTTATTAATTCATAATTTGGCATATACAGAATGAAAACTTCATTCTCGATTCAACGAGAATTTTATGAAAACCTTTTATTTGCTTCTCTTTGATGGAAATTTGATTTTATCAAAATGTATCTTAACTTTTCCTGATTCTTCTGTAGATCATACATATATAGCAATGTTTTCTGTAATCAATGTATACTTGATAAGTTGTTACTTAGGAGGCGTTTGGTTTGTTCATGGATTTCACTATAGGGTTTTTTATGATAACAAGAAGGATTTACTATCAGTATACTCCAAAACAGTTGTTTGATAATAAATTAGCTTTAGGTATCATTTTATATTTATATTTAATTTGTTGAAATAATTGTACAAATGTTTTTTTTACAAATAAAAATTAATAAATATTTTTATTTTATTAGTTTTAATATTTTTGATAATGATTTTTTTAAAAATAACTTAATTAGTTTGATCGAGTCCAAATAACTATTATTTCAATGTCAAGTTTAGTACAACGAACAAATTCTGGAGTTCAATCCCAATTTGAATTATAAGTTAATCAATTTAAATTCTCATCTAATGATGTTGGTACTTAAATTTCTAATAATACTTGAATTCTATAATTAAGAAAAAATTATATTTATATACAATAATAAATATATATACAACATAGTATAATGAGAAAACAAAAATTGAAGAAAAAAATTTGCAGAAACACCCTCCATGGTGGGTTTGGAAGATTCCTGAATAAGTATCAATCTATTTCTGCTAATTCAAAACCCACCAACCAAACAATAATAATTAGAATTATTCCATTCTCCCGTTAAACCCACCAATTAAACTCCCCCTTAATTTCTCTATCTCAAAATGTTTGTTAGTTTCATTCATTTAAAAAAGTGTAATGAAGTAAACCAAAAAGAAAAAAAAAATAGTAAGACAGCCATTGACTCTTTTTATTTATGTCGTGAAGTTATTTTGATCAATTTACATTCTTTGATTAAGGAAATTTATCAAATTTTCTTTTCCCTTCTTTTCCCTTTAACATGTACTCTATTATGAGAGTGAAAGTAGAATTAATACATGAATGATGAAATCGTATCGATTAAAAGATTCAGGAACCATAGATGTTGGTTTCTAACAAAATCTCGAATTAATATATATTTTTTAAAACTGCACACAAGGTGCATTCCAAATATTGAATCATGATTTCATTTCATTTCACAATATATGTTAATTTACAGTCAAGCATCAAATTGAAGACAATCTAGGCACTATTTTTTCACAGAGAATCATGTAGTGTAATTTTAGATAATTTGAGCTTTGTTGCTCATGTGCTTCAGATAACATGCATGCATGTTGAGGAATTCAAATATTCTCAACTTTCCTTTTGCATTAAATCTTGTTTTGTGATCCTGACACTACTCCAGGACATTGTAATTATCTACAACTATGTTGCCATTTAAAGATTTTATTTAGGTTACATATTAAAATGACCGATCAAATAAGAAAATAGACATCGAAACTACTTAAGTTCTTCTTTTAATTTATTAGTATTAATTCAAAAATATAAATTTGATTATTTAAAAGTGCAATTTTGAAGCCATCTTTAAACCCCAGTTGAGATGGATCTACACTTGATTAGGAGTCAACCAAATGTGGATGCTCCAAATATGCAGGAGCTGTTGAAATTTTTTGAAGATGTCTTAAGACCGATTCTTAGTGTTGAGGGTTGAATCTTTGTGAATTTTATGTGAAAAGAGATCAACAATATAATTCATAGTAATTTGCAAATTGCATGAATAAGTTATATATATATATATTTCATAAAGAAAGGGAAAAAACATAGACACATGAAATTGTGCTTCTTTAAAGTAAAAATTATAGAAGTATTAAATTAAAGAGTCTGGCAAGTGCTACGCACGCACGTGCAGTGCATGTTTTAAGAATAATATCCTATTGATGGTTAAATCTTTGTAATATGTTCCATATATGTGTCTATGGGGGATTAATTGAAAATTTAAAGATGTCGTAAGACCGGTTCATAGTGTAGAGGGTCGAATTAAACAACAAACTGGATCGAATCAAACCGTATATATATAATCTGACCGAAACTTGAACTCCCAAACCAGGCAAACCGGACCGTGACCCTAATATGTGGAAGTCATTGCAGTTTTTAAAGGGTCATTGAAGGTTTTGAATATGTCTTAAGACCAATTCCTGGTGTTGAGGGTCGAATTTAACCTCGTGAGTTTTATGTGGAGAGAGGGATCAGTAACATATGAGTATTAAATTAAAGGAGAAAAAACATAGAAACATAAAATTGTGCTCCTTTAAACTGAAAGTTGAGTATTAAATTAAAGAGTCCGGCACGTGCCGCGCACGTAGTTTGCACGTGCAGTACATGTCTTAAGAACAATTTCTTATTGAGGGTCAAATCTTTGTATTATGTCCCATATATGCATTTATGGGGGATTAATTGAAGGTCTGAAGATGTCTTAAGACCCATTCATGGTGTTGAGAGTCGAATAACACAACAATCTGGATCAAATCAAACCGTGAATTATAGTCCGGCTGACACTTGATCTCCCAAACCAGCGAAACCGGTCTGTAACAACCCTAATATGCAGGAGTCATTGCAATTTTTGATGTGTCATTGAAGGTTTTGAATATGTCTTAAGACCAATTCCTGGTGTTGAGGTTCGAATTGATCCTTGTGAATTTTACGTGGAGAGAGGGATCAGTAACATGTGAGTATTAA